GACATTTTCACCCTAAAAGTGACATAGGCCTAAATAGAAAGTATGGTGTTCGTACTAGCATAGAGAAACTTGCCTTGTCTGAAGAATTGTTGTGTTACGAAGATATTCCCTTGGCTTGATTGTCGGGTTCGTAATTCTACGAATTGCATACTTCCCTACCTCTTTTCACACACTGCTGCAGGTAGATGTAGGTGAATGCTACCTACACTTCTCCAGACCGTGCATCGGCCGAAGAAGTCAGAAGCACTTGTGGTTTGCATATTCTTTTCATCTAGGAAAATATCATTATGATCCATAAGCATGATTTTGCTGTGATGTAGTTTATAGTTATTAGAGACTGTTTCACGATGTTGAACCTTATGCGTCGTCAATAAGCCCGTCGTATTGCGAGGGTGCAGTGCTCCATCCAACAAATCCCTTCATCACTATGGCACATCTTGAAGGTAAGCAATCATGTCTATAGATATAATATATGATTAAAATATTTACATTATGTATGGCTGTGCATGGTCTGTGATTCAGATACCATATCCTCTTCCGTCAATGGTCTTGTCTAACTTATCAGGACAGGAGTCGTCTACACTTTGGTAGGAAACAAAGAAGAAAAACGGCGTAAGAAAACAGTTCAATGGTTGATCTACATTAATGTGTTATTATATTCACTTACTCTTCCTACCAAACAAGCCCTGAGTTTACTACTGTATCGTGATCGAAGATGATCCTTCGAGGTTCCTCATAAGTGCCTGCATGACATAGTATCCGTGCCTACACGAACTTTATCGTCTCGACCCGAACCCACTGGGGCCTTAGGTTACGGCTGCTTCTGATATTTGTTATGGAGGATGATGTCTTCAGAATGTTGATGATGCAGCATGTTAAGAACATGACTAAGAAAACTAGGCAGAATGCTGCCATATCAAACACGGGGAAGCTTTTCCGAAACAAAGATCCTATTATTTATATATTTTATTATTAAACATAAACTAAATATATTCCATTCTTTTATTAACCATTTAAAAATAATTACCCATGATTCTAATAACAGAGATCTATAGAATAGGATGTAAAATTTAAACCACTATTTTCAATCAAAATGTAGAGTTTTCAGATATATTCTCTATCAATAACAATAACACTAAATTAATATCAGAATAAAAATATTGGATGGAATTTTTCCTTCTATACCGAAATTAAAAGTTATGCAATTAGGTAAACGATCACGTTTTACTTATCATATAAGATTACAATTAAAAGATAATTTTAGTAATGAGAATTTAATTCGAAATCGATGGGTTTTGACTCAATCCAATTTGATAGGGTTGGATTTTTAAAAAAAAATTAGGTCGGGATCGAGTTGGGTTGAGGGTGAAAAACTTTTGACTCAACTCGATCTGAGGATAATAGAGTAATTTTTCATATAAATTTATGGACATTTGATATAATATCCCCTTTTTGTAGTTTTTTTAATAGCTCCTTAATTTATTTCGGATTAGACCAGGTCAGATTTATACTTTAAAAGATCGGATTAGGTCCAATTCGGATTGAGTGTATTTATTTTTTTGAATCAAATTGAATAAAAGGTAATATATTTTTGGGTCGGATTGAGTTGACCAAAAAACCTAACCCAATTTGACTCATTGCCATCTCTTAGTGTAATCAAACCAAGATTATATTTTAACACTAAATCTCCCTTTTTTAAATCTTACATCATATTGGGTGTTTTTCCCGATATATCATATTTTCCATTTATTTTTCACTGTCAAGCACCCTTCAGACTATTTTTCCCGATTTAACACCTTTTGCAGTAAGGCGCACCCCTGCAGCACGTTTTACGCTGATCTGGCGCCATGTGGGGCAAGGCGCACCCCCTGGAGCACGCCTTATGCTGATGTGGGTTACACGTGTGTAAAGCGCGGCCCCTGGGGCGTGCCTTACGCCACGTAGGGTAATAGCGCGGGTCAGGGGCCGCGTCTTACTTTAATTCAATTATATATAGCGCGGGGCAGGGGTCGCGCCTTAGCTTTAACTGATACAATTATATAAGGAGCGGTGCAGGTATCGCGCCTTGTATATTTATAGCTACTTTTCTCGGCTATAAATACCATTCTCCCCCGGTAAACTCCTCACATCTCCCCTCTCAACTTATAAATTAATACAACAATTTCGTCAACGAGTCAATAATTCCGACAATCTTATCATATTTGATTCAGAAGTTCGTGCGATTTTTCTTTATAAGGTCATTTTGTTATAATTTTTTTATTATATTTATTGTTTATTATGATTATTTGAAAAAAAAATTATACGTTTATGTGTAAAAAATTTATTATGTTATATTTTCGTTCATATATTATTTATTTAATCAGGTTTGTTTCAGTTGTTTTTTTGCAGATATAATAATGTCGCACTTTTAAACTCAAAGAATGACGCGACTTTCAGCTATTGTTTATTATGATGGTAAAATTCGAGAAGATGAAACTGAATTGTTTTCGTATCAAATGAGCGTGTTAAAATATCATTCTAGAGAAACATAACTCTTGAGGAGCTGATAACGAAGATTTCGATGAAGGTTTATGTTGAAGTAGTAGAAGAACGTCGTCGTTGCAATACAGATTTCCAATATCATTGTTTCCATTAACTTATACAGCGTTCGAACTTTCGAACAATGATGATGTTGAAGTGATGGTTGAATATCAAAGTAATTATTCTGACGCCGATATTGAGATGTATGCAAATTTTGTTCAAGTGCGTGCTGCTCGGGATCAGTCATTAAGCTCCCACTATGGGCTGGCTGAACAAGTTGATCAAGTTGACAGCCTGACGAACAATAATGTGTAATGATTTTAATGCCATAATGGAGAGACATTAATCCGCAACTCCTTACGATATGTACCGAGGTGGGTCGACGAACAATCCGTATGACAACTTAGTGTGCAGTTCAAGGGGAAAGCATTCACCTGCAAATCCCTTTGACATTAATATGGAGATGCCATCGACGCAACAATATGTGCACTATCCATTTGACATGATGGCTTCAAGCTCCAGGGGGAGGTATTCGATTGCGAGCTTTTTCAATCTCAATGTCGATATGCCTTCTAGTTCAAGGGGAAGACGTGCAAGTAGTAGGTTCTTCGACCTAAATGTGGATAGCTACTAAAAGAACCGCTTCGTGAGCCTGGTGCAGATGGTGCTGAGACTAGACTATTCATTCACCCATAATCACCGCAATTCAACTCCGATGATGATGATGTAGATGAAGTTCCAGGAAATGTGGTACAAACTGACACTCCTTCACACATGTATGAAGCTGATTATGGTGAATTGTACGGGCCAGAATTTACGGATATGCCTCATCTCGGTGACTATGAATATTACTCATCAATAAATAATGGTGAGTTATCTTTAGGCATGAAGTTTTCAAGCAAAGAAAAAACGATGATGGCTATCAAAAATTACAATATCCGTAATTCTGTTCAGTCCAAAGTCGACCGTTCCACGACCGAAAAATATGTATGCTACTGTGCCCGACGCGAAAACGGATGCAATTGGATGGTTCGCGTATCGAAGAGGAATACACAAAAAACAACAGATGAGAACTAACAGTATACAACGGTCCTCACACATGTTGTGCTGGAGGGGTCAACCAAGATCACCTAACTTGGACTCTGAAGTGATATGCCAAGCCATCATGCCCATGGTAAAAGCAAGCTCTCATATAGCTGTTGCAGTGTTTATTTCAGCTATACAATCGCAGTATGGGTACAATGTCTCCTATAAAAAAAACTTGGTTGGCAAAACAAAATGCTATTGTTAAACTTCATGGCGAATGTGATGCATCTTACAACGAACTTCCAGGTTGGTTTAGGCTGGTGCGGACGTTGAATCTTGGGATAATTGTGGATTTCGAAACCTCCTATGCATACCATAATGATCGAGTTCTACGTGATTGATGCCAATTCTATCGGATTTTTTGGACTTACCTACAGTGCATTAATGTTGTCAAATACTACAAGCCTATGGTCCAGATCGACAGGACTTTCTTGTATGAAAAATACAAGCAAGTTTTATTATTAGTAGTTATCCAAGATGGCAATCGCAACATTCTTCCAGTTTCTTTTACTTTTGTTGAAGGAGAATATACAAATTCTTGGGGTTTTTTCCTCCAAAACTTACATGCGCATGTTATCACGAAGGAAAAAATCTGTGTCATTTCAGATCGCGGAGCTGGGATCAAACCAGCAATGGAGTCTTTGGGTCCAATATGGCAACCATCCTTTGTCCAACATAGGCATTGTCTCCGACACATTATTGCGAACTACCATGGAAGGTACAAGAAGAATGATGAGCATCAATTAATTGTGTGCATGGGTAAGTGAAACTGATGCAGTTTGTTTTCTTTCGATCATTTTAATTTTGCAAAGAAAGCAAGTTAGTAAGTTATACATTTTTTTATCAGGTTACGAACTACTTCCTCGAACGTTTGAATCAATGCTTCAAGATTTACGGCGAAGAACGAGGAAGGATACGATTACATCAGCCTCATCGATAAAGAAATGTGGACGGACGCATATGATGGTGAATATCGATATGGACACATGACGACCAACTTGGTTGAGGCAATCAATTCAACCTTAAAGGGTGCACGTCACTTAGCTATAGCGACTTTGATAAAAACTACATATTTTCGTTTGGGGGCGCTTTTTGCGAAGCTCGGGGAACAAGCTCAAACCTGGATGCAAGGAGGTCATGTCTATCACCCTAGATTAGTTGCAGATCTACAGAAAAAAATTGTTGCATCAAATGGAATATCTGTATCTGACTTCTCTATAAGGCATGAAATGTTTCGTGTCACAGAGTTGTCGCGACCTCTTCAAGGGATTGAAGTTGTGTCGTTAAGAGTAAATCTACGGGACAGAACATGCGACTACGAGTTTTTTCAAGCTCTGAAGTATCCATGCTCTTATGTGATAGCAGCTTGCTCGCATAAGCGTCAAGACTATAACCGTTTTGTGGATCTCGTATACCTACTATCTGAAGTTTATAAGGTATACGAATTTGAGTTTCCCCCATAGGTAATGACAAAGACCCTGATGAGGTTCAGGATTGGCTTTCGATTGTACCAAATCCAAGTTTATTAAGGGAGCGTGGTCGTCCAAAATCCAATCGAATTCATTGCGATTTGGATATTCGAGAAAGATCTAGACAAGACAGAAGATGTGGGCATTGTAGAAACCCATGACACACTAGAAAAACATGTCCACTTCTGTTGTCATCAAGTAACAATTGATGATGACATGATGTAGTTGTTTATCAAATAATAATTCTTGTACTTTAATTTGCATTTACTTAAAGTTAAAGTCATTCGATAACCGTTGATGAACAGTAAAAAATGATACAAGAAAACGAGATTCAACGTTAGCGTTATATGTGATTATAATAAAAGAGATAATAAGTGATAAACTGAAGAAAATTTGAGAACACAATTATTAAATTTTATCAAACTAATAACAATTTGGTATTTGAACATAATTTTAAATACAACAAACTTACAAAAAAATATTAAATGGTAAATTATAACCAAATAACAATAATTGATATTAAATGGTAATAAACAAAATTAACCAAAATACATTAATAAAACTGTATAACAATTTAACAAAATAAATTAAAATAAATCCAACCACATTAACGAAAAAAAGTAAATATTAAATGATAAATAATTAAAAAAATACAATAAAAAATCCAATAAACAATTAAATACAAATATAAAAAAAAACAAAATCTATCGATGTCTGCGACGCGAATGTGTTCCGTAAGACGGTGATTGTCGGTCTCGAGGAGGATTTCTTCGTATCACTGGTTGTGACACTCGCTGTCATCATCATCACCATCATCGCCGTCGTCGTCGTCGTCATCGTCGTCGTTGTCGTCGTCGTCTTCCTGAGCAACTACATTTTGTTGAAGAGGAACTGATGACGATGAAGCACCTCATAGAATAAGGACCCTGGAGGTGTATGACTGACTATCCCACCGGCCTGTGAAAACTAATAAAACCCAGACATCGTCGAGTGTGAAAACTGTACATGAGGTGTCTGTGTTGCGGCCATATGTGATGAGACTGCACCCGCCAAATATCCAACATATGAATCCCAAGTAGGATCTGCAAACATAGACCCATAATATCCTCATGAGGGGTCATAAAACTCTATGACGGTGGCGGCGGCGGGGTCATAAAACCAAGTAATGGTGGCGGCGGCATCGGGTAAGGAACGGCAATGGCAGCATCACATATGGTTGCAGAAGGTAAGTCGATGTAGATGGTGGCTGCTGTGAAGGTCCTGCTGGTGTAGTTGAGGATGAACCGGAAGCACCTGCTCTCCGTCCACGAGTCGGGGGAGATGGTATTATGTCAGTGAACGTCTCTATCGACGTCGCTGAAAGGTCCGCCCTCGTGCATCATCAGAAAGCAGAAACAGTTTTTCGTTACTATTGAACCACTCGTAATAACTGTCAGCAACCATCAAGAGGTCAGTAAAAATGGGCTCTCTACGGGGAAGACGCTGATGTCCATCCTCCCATAGCACGACCCACTCGTGATGCCTCACCAGCCAATCTGTATCGGTCTTGCCGCGTCTATCTGTTCTATACAACTCGTCCATATTGTGAGGTGCTTCCGGAATTGGTTGAAAACAACCAAATTGCCAGAGCACGCGATCAGTAGAGTGCCACTCGACGATCGTATAATAGATCAAAGGGACCATCTGTTGAGTTAATCGATTGATGAATATAGCCAAGAGGGGGTGAATTGGCAATTAAAATTTTGGTGGAAGCTTTTGCAGAAAATTGAAAGAAATTTGCACAGCATTTAGAGTGATTCGACTTTCTCAACAAAAGTCTACGTCCACTACATTAGCTATCCACACTAAGGATTTTCCACAAATTCACTAATTTGTCTTTCTTTTGAGGACAAAGAGTAACCTTACAAACCCTCAAGAATTATACCCCAAATTATTGAGAACACTCTCTCCCAAAGAGAACAATACAAATTTGCAAACTTACAAGGAAATCCTCACAAGGTAGATTGTTTGCACAATTCTAGAACAAAGAAAAGAACACTCAAGAATGAATACAATTGAGCACAATAAGTGTTCTTGAAATCAAAATGAATATTGAATGAAAAATAGGCTTGAAATGCTCAAACTTGAGGTTTGATGCTTTCTCTTTGATTTCTCTCTTGATTCTAGTTGCTTGATATTTCTTATTTTTGATCAATGGCTTCTAAGCTTGCTTAAATACAGCTTGAATTACTTCTGAACATTGGGGATGATTAGTGGAGTCAATAGAGCCGTTTAAGTGTGAAAACAATTAATAAAATCAGTTGGGAGCGTCTCATGCATCAATGCATACCCTAGGTGCATCGGTGCATCAAGTGTAAAATTCAAATATTTTGATCGTTAGACTCTCATTGCATCGGTGCACTAAGAGTGCATCGATGCATAAAATGCATTCGATGTTTTGAAAAAGCCTGAGTGCATCGATGCATGGTATGTGCATCGATGCATCAAATGCATTCGATGTTTTTATAAAACCCTGAGTGCATCGATGCATGGTATGTACATCGATGCATCAAATGCATTCGATGTTCAATTAAATCATCGGTGCATGATGCATAGTTTGATGCATCGGTGCATGCCTGTGAAAGTTGTTTCAAAGATATATTAAGTATAAAACACAATTTTACACATTTAGTAAGGTTTAAAATTGATCTTGAAAGATTTGGAGTAATAATTTGATATTCGATTAATTGAATCGAATATACTTAGAAAATCATTTGTAAAATCTTAAAATTCATTTAAACTTAATTTGTTATATCGAAACATCAAAATGTTTTCAACAATCTCCCCCTTTTGATATAACAAAACATTTGTGTTATTTTAAGATTTTCTAAAATTTGAAATCAATTTTGAAAAATTACTCCCCCTTACTATAACACTTTTCCCCTTTAAAACATATTAACACTTAACATTTCTCCCTCTTTTTGTTAAATCAAAAAGCTTCATATCAAAAATATAGCCAATTGATTAAGAATATATGTATATATAGCTTAAGCTGCTAAGATCACAATCAAAAGAGAGATTAGTCATTAGTTTCATAATCAATATTCATAATAAAATGTGAAATTGTAAATTGGTCATACTTCAACTAAAAAGTAAATGATGCATATATTGAAACAAACCAAAATATATATGAAATAAAATTTCAAATATCCATCAAACAAACATCCAACAACCAAAGAAAGAAATCCAAAATGTTTTAACAATCCAAAAAAAATCTACTCGTCCATAGAAGGATCAGGAGGAGGCAGAGGAAAACGGGCTTGAATCTCAAGCGAGAGAGTATTCATGCGTGCAAGCATATCCCTTTGAAACTCCATCTGTCGAGCTTCCAATGTGTCTAAGCGTTAATTTACTGCTTCGTGAGTAGCAGTCAGGTGTGATTCGATGGAAGCATATTGTAGATCAAATGTCTCCAAGAACGATTGAAAATATGGAGGTATTTGATCCTCTTGTGTAGCTGGTTCTGGTGCAGGCTCGTCATCGGGTACGTGATCATCGATGTCTTGCATAAGCTGTTGAAATTCATGATCATCATCATCAGCTGGAGCCAGAGGAGGAGGAGCACGAGAGGAGCTAGGAGCAGTTCGTGAGGAACTAGCTCTCGGAGTTTGTTTGCCGGGTCTAAAAACCCATTGACCGGTTACCGCTTCTTGTTTCCAATCCGCTTTCTTCAAAGATGTGAGATTGATTGGGTTTTGGAGAGGAATAGGATTGTCAAGAGAGATATCCAAACCGAGTTTGATAAAAAAGATTGCTAAGAAGACAACCATAAACTAGTGTTTCAACGTGTTTGGATGGGATAATGTTTACGGTATCGACTAACACACTAAAGATAATTTGTGGAAGATTTATTTTGATCTTATTCTTAATACAATACATCTACCATAAATCCCTAGCCCGAAGAGTGGAGTACCTACCCGCGGATGGTCGAAACCACCACGAGATCATTAAGTGAGAAAACGATCGTGATGAGATCAGAGGGTACTAACACTAGCGTTTGGGAGATATGGATATTCCACAGTTTCTTTTTCATCATAAACACCATCATCATCTAACCTAAATTTTGAAGCTATAGTTGTGGAATCAACAAGAATATATTGTCCTAGAAGATAGGATCTAATTCCTATAGTTCCACATTGAGTTTCGTTTTGAATACAGACCGCATTAGAATAGAAAATGCAGACTAATTGATGGAAAACGACAGGTTGAAGACTCAACAAATTATCAAACTTCCAAGATTGAAGAATAGAAAGGTATTCAAAATCAATATCTATCATGGCTTGAAGTGAGGGAATACATTCTTCCCGATTCTATAGGATTGGAAAGAATTTTTGTACCTAGAGTACAGTTCGTCTCTATGACGCTCAGGCATGTTAAAACAAGATCCTAATAGACTAGTTGGTGGAGGAGGAACGGATTTGGCGGTTGGTTTGAACGAGAACGACTAGATGAAGTTCTAGGGTGTTTGGGATTAGACATGATTAAAGGAAATCGGAATAAGGAATATCACCTGCAATTTGAAACACATGTATGCATAATCAATCCCAAAACTCAAATGAGTCCTCAATAATTCAAGGTTCTCTAAACCATATCCTAATGGGCATGTTTTGAAAACTATTTAAAAATAATATTTGATAATCATAATATAGTTTTCATGAAAACAAAACAATTAAATCAAAAATATTACTAATTTTTGAAATCATTTTTTTTAATTTCGAAATTCAAAGAAAATTCTTGAAAATTTGTTTGTTTTTGACAAAATTAGTAGTAAAATCTAGTTTAGAACCAACAAACAATCAATGCCTGACATAATGTACATTCTAGAACTAATTAAAACTAGTTCTAAAATCAAAAATTTGTAAAATAGAAGTTTTTTTAGAAAAATACCTTGAAAATTC